AAAGCAACCAGCAGGAGGACTGTCAGATAAAGAACTGGTTGAGAGCAAGGAGGATGATGTTTCTACTTACCCTTTCCTGTTAGTTGTTTTTCCTGCCATGAGCCCCTCACCCATTCACCCTCACTCACACACTTCCCACAAACAGTATTTTCTACAGTTTGTTGGAGGAAATGCTCAGTCAGTTCCAGTCAGCTACCAAAGCCACCTTCTAAGATGATGATTAGTACTTAAAGGCCCTAGTGCTATAAACAACAGTTGGCATGCAAATGGCTACGTCACTAGCTTCAGAAGGGCCCTGTGCAGTCATGACAGTTGACCGCAACAGGGTCTTCAGCCACTGCTGAATCTAAAGAAACAAAGGACTCTAGGTCAAAGAATAATATAAAGTGAAATTGGAATCTGCTGTTAACTTTCTCTTTTTTTTTCTTTCCCTCCAAACATAGTATTTAGTTCTACATCAAACACTATCTGCATGTTATGAAATTAACAAATGCATAGGGCAGAGAAGGGAAACAAAGGAAAACACACACAGTTACCTTAGACTCATCCTTCAAGCCTCCCATACCTCAACTGGAGAGAGAATGCCCATGGGAGTCTGCATGACTTTCTCACACACCTCGTAACAACGCATGAAAGAACGAGAACTTACAGAAGTCCTACTTGTGTGTAAGGCAAGCCAGGTTCTCCTAAATGCTTATCATTTTTGTTCATTCCCAATCTTAGAAGGAAAGCTAATGATACCGCTGTAATCTTGCTCAACACTTCAAGTCTTTTAAAATAAGATATTATATGGTCTGATATCACACACGTACACCTGAGGATCACGACATTCTGCTGATCACAATGGGACAACCCCCACTGTTCATGACCTACAGAATGTGTAGTATGGAATTCTTGATTTAGCTTCATGGGTTTTAGAGTGATGAAATTATAATACTATATTCCTACAATTTTGACATGTATATCGTAAGTATTTTACCTTCCAAATGTAAACAAAGTTTTAACATTTTAAAAGACAAAACTTTAAAACCTTTTGCTCCATAGCCACTGATTATGATTAATAACTGGCTTTATTTCTGAGTCATCTAGGAATAATGTCCCTATAACTTGTTTTACATCAAAATAAGTCAATCTAGACCAACTTACAATTTCAAAACAGCTATTTCAAAATCTTCATGAATGTTTAAGAATTTTAGATGAATGCTACTCCATTGCAACTATGGACAAAGAACATATATGCAATTATTACATTATTCAGATCCTACAGGAATTTTATTAAAGAATTATATAACTAGCATAGAGAAATTACTATACTTTTTCATAACAATCCCTTCACTTTTAATAAGCTGGTATTGGTGCCAAATAAATGAGGTTGTAACTATTGTGTCTGTTTCTGGCTGAATGGACACTTCTAAGCACAGAATGAATGGAGTTCATTTAGAGGTCTTGCAAATGGACTCGGACTCTTTTCATGCATAATGGATTTCAGTAAGAACATTTAGGACAAACAACTTTTTTTTTTTTTTTTTTAAATTTAACCCTTTTAAGTTAAAGGGAGAGAATGGGAAAGAAGGAAAATTCAGAATAATTTTGTTATTGTTCCCCATTCCGTGATGGCACGCACACTTGTTTCACAGGAAATAAAGAGACCAAAATCAGTCTGGAAGGAATTATCTCCATTTCTATGCCTAAAAATGAACTACAACAGTCCTGATGCACTAAAGAGTAACTCAAAAAAAGCTTAATTATTTAATATTACTACTCTGCAAACCAACTTAATCATGAACAACAGGTTTCTAAGTTAATTATGCTACTAACATAACAGCTTGTAGACTTTAGAAATCACCATTTTCTTGTGTTTACTCATGCGATTAAATATGTTACAATTCATAGATACAGAAGAGGGACAAAAGAAGGTGGAGTGACTTAATTTTTTTTTTTTTAACATTTTAAATCCAGACTTAACATTATTTGAACACATTAACATTCTTATATGTTTGGGACTACCCTTTGTTCAGAGAGATGTAATTCACACTGTACGTGTATATTTAAAGACAAAATCCAATCTCACATTTAAGACTAATATGAACTAGGACCCATTCCATCCTCTTACTGTTTCTAAAAATACTGAATTAATATATTTTATTCTAGAATTCTCTGATAAAAATAGGAATTCCTTTTAATAAACGAAGTCAAATATAAATAAGTCTGGCAAAACTCCCTATTTTTTAGCTAGTATTTTAACTTGTTTTTCTAGGGGAATACCACTGTTCTCTCACTGACTAAACTAAGCCAAATTTGACAGAGCTGAAGATGTCTGAGATAACTACATTCCTACAGATTTTGTGAAAATTAGTGGTTGGGAGGGACAAGGATAGTGCAGTGGAAATATGGATAGGTCAAAGGACACAAATCCATTGAAAACTAGGCTTAATTAGTTACGCTGTTCTTTTTGTCATGATTACTCATCACTTTCTTGATATCTTGAAGAACACTGCTATCAAAACTGGGATGAGAAACGTGCTCTGGCAATCCATAAAAAGCTTCAAAGATTATTAGGAAGGCAGAATCCTATTCACAATGC